AGTCTCAAACATCGTTTATAATTACAACTGCAGCGTAGTTTGGTAATTAAAGGCTTCTTAAATAATACGAACGATATAATCGAGCCTAAAGAGCGAAATAAATCAGTCCGTTTCGTTCGATGGAAATCGTGTCCGAGATAAAATCAATAAAGTGTTCTTTAATCGCCGGATCGATCAATAAAATTTTTACCAAATCGACGTGGAACATTTTTGCACGACTGTCTCGAGACCCGCTCGAGATAAAATCGCTTTAATCTCAATTTCCCGAGCTGCGAGCAAAAACGAGAAAACGAACGATCGTTGTTGAGAGGAGGATGCGCGACGTTCAAGTGCGATTAATTCGCCATGTTATGTCTCCAGAATCCTGTGGGACCATTTTACCAGACGTCGTTCCGTATCACGCGAAATTCGAAATCTGATTCTCCGTCCGTGTTCCTCGTTGAATTAATTCGACGACCTGCCGCGAATACTTAGCGCTCGCAGCTCCGTGTATTATTATTCGAATAACCAAAATCTTCGCTTTCTTTCTTTTTTTTTTTTTTTTTTTTTTTTCTTTAAATTCGGCGATTCGCAAAATAAGTAAAGACTGAGCGACTCTTTCTCTCGTTTTAAGTCCGAAACTGTCTAATCGAGATCCAACGATACGAATTAACGATTCGAAATAAGATGCTGGCGGACTGTAAAGCAAAAAGTGTAATACAATATAATTGCACGGTGCAAGCTTGCGAGCAGTACGATGTAAAGAGAGCCCAAGGGAATAAGCGAGGCACGATTAAGGAAGATCTTAAACGACCCCATAAAATAATAAAACATCGAGGCTACCGTGAGGCGCTACGAATCACGCAGCGTGTTTTTATATCATTTTTAATCGAACGTATACGCCGTAACGCAGATCCGGATGCGTACGAAGAATCAGCTGGCACGTCGGATCGCGTGGATAGATATTAAACGCAAAGCGGTCCTCGGTAGCTAAGATGGATCGTGCGAAAACTATAACGACGCGCGAACAAGACTTTCACTTACACACCCAGCCCGATTATACAATCACGCTCGATCTTCCCTTAATTATGGCTCACGATCGCCGGCCGAGATATAACAAATTACCGGATCTTAATTCTCCTCTTCCTTCCGACGTTTCCTCGAAACTCGCTACTGCAAACTGCGAGTAAATACGACGATGTGAGAAATTATGGGTCTGGAGGGAATTGCTTCGACGCCAGAGCCCAAGTATCGAACAGGCTGCCGGAGAAAATTGCATCGCACAACGATCGTATTTTAGAAACAACTTACGCACGGAATGGAACGTTGAATACTCAAATGTCCAACGACCTCGAATTCGCGTAAATTCTTTATTTGCTCTCGCTCGACTGGTATATCCTGCGGTCGGTTGGCGAAATCGGTCGGTTAATTGATTTCCTACTGGAAAAATCGAGACGTTTCCTTATGACGGATAACGAATTATTAGAGATGGTAGACTCAATAAAATAAAATATCCTACGTCCTCCGAATAAATAACTTGCAACTCTGGCGTTTAACTCTCCATCAAATGGCAATATCTCTCGTAATCTGACTTCAAATATTTCACAAGCATTTCGCCGGACCAACTAAATCTTGATCTTTCAACGCAAGCATCTTCCCGTCTTGAAACAAAGATTCATTCCTTAACCCTAACTCGCCGTTCATGATCGATCGACGTCCGTAATGTTCCGGGTTCCGGAGGTATTGTATGAGAAAGCACAGAGGAAACGCGTGAGATTTACGGCAAACATCAAGCCGTGGAATGGAACAGCGATCGTCGATAAATCGACATCGATCATTGTTTCGTCTCGGCGGTCAAGGGGGTTGTGGTTGATGTTAACGACGAAATTCAAGCCTGGATGGCGTTGGCTCGTAAAACCGATCGCCCCTTTTCTCCAAGCCTGTGCACGGAAACTTCAGCTGCTCGGACGGCCGCGAAACTCGAAACCCTGGCGTTGAATCGAATTAATTGAAATGGCCGGAGCTATTATAAGAAGCTGCGGTGCTCGTTTCGCCCGGGATTCGATCGATACCCCTTGGTACCATGAGAAAAGGAGAGCGAGAGAGAGAGATTCTCTCTCGTTCACGAGGAACCAGTTTATCGTCTATCATTACTAAAACAAGTAATTACAATCTTATTATAAACTTATCGTCACTCGACGGACTCTCGAGAAACGAACATTACGGGCCACCGATGAAAATTACTTGGGCCGCTTTTCACCCGATCTCGTGAACTCGATCGATTATTCACTTGCTCGTTTCGTTCGATTAAAAGACAAGATCTTACTTTTCCTTGTTTTGTTCGCATTTGACAAGCTAGCTCGAACATTACATAGATCTTCTCTCCATTATGTTGTGTTGAAACATTTATCTCGGAAAGTTTATCTCGCATGGCTCGGTCAGTCGCGATTTAATACAGGCGCAATAATGTCAAATTTATTACAACGATGATTATCACGAGAATGAAAAAGAAGTTGCGATGCAGAGTTTGGTTTCTCCTATGTTGTTTTAACAAGTATTATTATACTATCAAAAAGAAAAAAGTGAGAAGTTCATTTCATTTAAGAGTAGATGAGAATCTCGCTAATGCGCAGCCAATCAACTCATATTATTTGCTATATAATTCATAACTGCATCATATAATGATACAATTAGTAACTATACATCAAACGATGATTATCAATATTAACAAGTCTACATTTTGCTCCTTCTGCGCGCAAAAAGTTATTTAAAATTTATAGACAAAAATGATGCGCGTTTCAATCTTTTGATCATTATACAAAGGAGCTT